GGGGAGGGGGAGGGGGAGGGGGAGGGGGAGGCGGTCTCCGCAATCTGACCTGACCTCCTCCTGACCTGGTGAGTCACACACACCGTTGGAGTCTGAGTGTGAGTCAGAGGTGTCTGTGGTGTTTGGTGATTTGGCTTCAGGTTCAGCACCGAGTGCTTGCAGCACAGCCACGCCCAGGAAGTGATGTAAGGAAGGGGAGGAAGTGTTGTTGTTGTGAGAGTCGGAGCGGACCAGAGAGGAAGGTTTACACATCGACTCTGGGCGATCCGATAGGTCACTATCAGAGTGTGAGCGCCATAGCTTATTATGCCTTTGTTTGCTGCAGAAGCAAAGAAAAATGAGAGTTTGTTAGCACGGGAATGCTCTGTGAAGAAGGTGCAGACTGTACAGATGCTTCTACATTTAAGCACACCTGGCCAGCAGAATTCCCTGATACTCCTCCAGCTGTTTCATGAAGGAAGGGTTTGGTTTGGTGACAGCCCGTCTCTCTTTAACGTGGTCGAAGGCCGTGTCCAGGTCCCAGCCGTACTCTTTCATAGCGTAGGCAATCACTGTGGAGGCGGACCGACTCACGCCCATCTTACAGTGAACCAGACACTTAGCACCGGCTTTCCTAAGAGAGACAGCCAGACGAGAGAGAAAATGTGTTGGATTACTGACAAGCCAAAGAGAACTTAACAACCTTGTGTGTGTGTGTGTGTGTGTGTGTTTAAGCCTACTTGGCTTTGGTGATGAACTTGTAGGTTTCGTTCCAATACTCCAGCAGGTTGGTGGCCTCTTCATCGTACACTCGGATGTTGTGGTACTCAAACATCCCTGGGAAGAAGTTGTCTATCTCTCGAGTCACGTTCAGGATGTAGCGCACTCTACATAAGAGACGGGAAGAGGCAGGTTGACCTTTTAATTCCAATAAAACTGTCATCAGTTCATACTTCAGTGTTATTCAGATGATACATGCTTAACTAATACCACACAGGTCACTGGTGGAAAAAAAAACACACTCAAAAATGATGGTGAGGAAGACTGGGAGTGTTGAAAGCTCTCAAATAAGTCAGTCAGTTGACCATGTGTTTGTGATTATTTTGTCAGTAAGTTCTGTCATAGACTACAGGTAGATTAAATCCAACATATGAACCTTTGCTGAAAATACTCGCTGCAGTAATTAACCTTTTTCAATTAGAAAACATATTTAATACTTGAAGAGTAGTCTCTCCATTTATCAAAATTCCCACAGTGATGTTGGTGAGTGTGCTTTCGAGTAAATGTGGTTACTGACTGATCCCTTACCCGCTGTTCTGCAGCTCTTCCAGGTTAGAGGCGTTCCACTCAGAGCCCTGGAGACATCACAGATCCAGTCAATATCAAGGTGTACACACATATATACAACATATAAGAACCATTAAGAATGAGTCACAACTTACAAGTTACTTTGACCCATTCTCATTTGTATGTTACTAAATTGACTGTTGACCATGAACCATGTGAATAGATCTGCTAATACTGTTTTTTTTATCGTAGTGATCAAACAGCAGGATGTGACAACCAAGAGCATTGTGTTGTCTAAAACAAACTCAATGGCTCAAAAGCAAAAGCCACCTGGTTTCTTACCAGATAGACGTGTTCAAAGATTTCTGTGGGGCTGTCCATCTGTCCCAGGATGACAATCATCTCATTATCTATGAACTCTTTAAACTCCCTCAGGTTGCACACCATTTGCATCTCCAGCTCTGTTCGGATCTGCGAAAGGAAAACAACGATTCAGAGAAGCACCATGACGGTTGATGACACTTGGACAGGACGGGGGTTAAATTTACTGTTCTTTAATAGAGAAAATAAATGTGTTCATGCAATACACACGTCCGTTAAAGTTCAGGTCAAAGATTGTTGAAAATTGGCGCTTTGGTATCTTACCAGTACAGTGTTAAATCCTGCATACACCTGTTATTTTCACCCCATTCCCTCACACGCCTCTCACCTCTTTACAGGTGACGTTCTCCAGGTCTTTCTGCATCATGATCTCTCTGAGGCGCATCTTGATCAGCCTTTCTGTGCGCTCCCTCTCTGTGGGCCTGTACATACAGACACAAACACCTTCATGAAAAAAAAACACCTTTCACACATTTTCTCTTAGCCTAAAAAAAAACCAAAAAACACTTCAGGACACAAAGAACCACCTTTCACAGTCACAGTAACGACACTTTCCTTCTGTTTATTGATGCATTTTGACTGGAGTCTCAATGAGATTACTTGTTCCACGAGAGAATTGCCACTTTGTCTGATTCTCAGAAACTGGAGAGGGAACAGAAAATCTGAGAGTGTGGCCCATCGGCGATCCACAACAAAGTCCCCTTGTAGAGTCTCCCTGTTGTTGTGCCTGGCTCTGTTTCTAACCACTCTGCTGTTGGACGCATTTAGCCTCTGGACGTACCAACAAGTGGCCTAATTACCTCTCCGGAGAGAGGAGCTCAGTTTGTCTCCAAACTTCTCCTTCTTACGTTGTCTAATTTTCTCGTTTTGCTTCTAACCGGATCCTAACTGTAATAGTACACAGCCGTGTGGGTCAGCGGTTGCAAAGAGGGGCAGTGTGATGGCCTCAGGTGTGTAGCTGTACACTTAAAAGCATCTATCTGTGTAAAAGAATTGCTTGTTTATCTCAATGCTGAACGTCTTACTGACCCCAAGAGAATGAGTCCACAGGGTTAAGAGAAAGAGAACCTATTCGCTCTTGCCAACAAATACGGTTAGTTCCCGACATCCAGTTAAGCTTTAACCTCACAACAAGCCTTGACTTGCCCACAGACAGCCTGAGGGAGGGACGGCTGGCCAGGGAAACAGACAGAAAAATAGGGAATAAAAGAATACATGTGTGACGAGTGTATGACGATGCAATTTAATGGCACTAATGAGTAACTGAACAATGGAAATTCTATGTCACTTCCTTGAACCGCTTATAGAGAAGTAGCCAACGGGAATTCACAGATACATTAATCAAATAAACACGAAAACATGCCAAAATCAAACTACTTCCTGCTATCTCAACCTTTCATTCAATGATTATACAGCGGCATGAGCTGCCATGTCAACAAACACTGGCAGCTCATGTAGCTTTGGCAGTCACCCTGTGCGGGAGAACAAACAAGGACTTTTATGTGTTTGGGTGTGTGTATTGGAGCTCATAAAGTGTGGGTGGCAATCTTAAAGATAAGTGCACTCGAGTGCAAACACATGTCCTCCAAAGACAGAGTGCGTAATGTATCTCTGTTTCCAGGAGGACAGTAAATAAGGGTGTTTCTTGATTGTCAAGTTTTAAAGTGGAGCTCGATTTCTCTTTCTGTCCCTTCCCTCTCTTCTTTGCTCCAGGGGCATCAGGTGCATGCAGCAGCAGACTATCTTCCTTAATCCCCCCCGAAACACCCACATCCTCTACCCCCTTCTCTCTGCCTGCCACCTGCTTCTGTCCGTCTGTGTTGGTCTACCTATTTGTCTGCCTGGATTCCATTTTTCCACACGTAAATCAAGCTGGCTAAAGCTTCAGCTATTTTGGACACTGGAGGATCTCTGAAGTGTGTGTGTGTGTGTGTGTGTGTGTATATAAGTGAGTGAGGGAGTGAGAGAGTGTGAGAGAGAGAGAGAGAGAGAGAGAGAGACGCTCAAAATAGGTAGCAAGGTAGCACGTGACTAAGCAGCCGAGAGGGGAATTTCCCTGGCATTAGTAAAGACATAAATTCAGCAGTCTGTGTCATTCTCTGTATTTTCTATGCTCCCTTATGAATCTGTTGACAACTCTATGTCCCAAAGATAAAGATTTAATGTGTGCGTGTATCAGCGTGTCTATTTGCACACAGTTCAGCATTTACTACTGTGCCTGCATGTGGTGCTTTTTGTTTTTGTTTGTGCCTCTCAGTATTGCTTCTTGTTACCCAGAGAGGTTACAGAGAGGTTACAGAAAGCACGTGACCCCAAATTCTAGAGTTCAGCGCTCTGAAGACGCCCGAGATATCCTGCCATAGAAATGTAGCAATACTGTCGGCACGTGAGGAGAGGCCAGGCAGTGATGCTGTGAAGATACCACTGAGCACATATTTGCATTAATGCAGCTACTGTGAAACACATTTGATTTTCTCTGAATCTGTTATGCCAGTGTGTGTGATTTTGTGAGAGATGCTCACATCTCGACTGTTTTGGATTGCAGGTCATGCATATGTTTGTCCAGATGTGTGCACACATGTTTCTTCTGTACCCTTTCACGAATTGCTGGAATGAATTATGCTGTCGTGTAAAACTTTAAGACCTTTCAAAGCCTCTCCATTAATTATTTTCATATTATTATTTTTGTACACGTGTCCGTACATGAGTATATTTAGTGTGCATGGTCCAACATTTATTTTTTTTTACAATTTTGTCTATTGTTGGCTATACCAGCTACATTTTGTATATGAACTTTTCTGAGTGTTTAGTTTAGTTACTTTTCATCAGTTCTTTGTTTTCAAAATAACAATTATTTGGGAAAGTTGTTGGCCTACAACAACTATTTTCCAATTTGCCAATTTTTAGAGGAGTGAATTCACCCTGTATATTTTAACGCAGGAATTTTGCACCACATATCAATGGGGGACGTGCATACAAAATGAAAACCTGTGAAAATGACTCCCTGTCTGGAATGCATCAAAGACCAGACAATATTCCAGATATTCCATCATCAGTGTGAACTGTGGATCTGTGTGTGTATGTGTATTCATGTGGTCTATCCCTCCTCTACTCACAGGTCTGTGAAGAGGACGGGTGAATTGGCACGGTGCGACTCCACGTCCTGCATGGCGTTCCACTCGTTGATACAGAACTGGTTGGATGAGACCCTGCTCTGGTAGTAGCTGACCCAGGTCAGAAACAGGCTGCCTGGGTAGTAGTTATGGCAGCGCGCCACCTCGCACGCTTTGTGGAGCGACTGGAGGGCTGACCTGAGGCAGACAGCAAGAGCAAAGAGGATTCACACTTGAGAGGTTGTCTCGAGGGCAAAGAGGCAAAAATTACTCAAATAAAACTGAAGTGAAATTTGGACTGAACATGACTGGCTGGGAGTAAAATCATTTAAATCAAGAGAGGCTATAACAATGGGCAAAGAAGAATAAAGAGATAAGAGGAAGGGAGGAATTATGAGAGATGGAGAGAAAGTGAAAATTAATAGAAAGATAAGTGAGGAATGAATCACATATTTGAGAAATATACCAAGGGGGGCGTGGGTTGAATAATTAGAGAGAGAAACGAAGAAACAACTGAGGTGAGAAGAGAAGAACTGAAAGAAGAAGCGACGAAGAGACATAATACAGAGATATAAAGGGACAAGAAAATGAAGAAATGAGGACAAAGAGAACGGAAATGAAGAGACAGCAGTGGCATGCGAGACAGGGAAAGATAAAGAACAGACTGTAAGGCAGAGAGATAATGAGGGAAAAAAGGGAAGGAGAGAGGGATGATAAGAAACAGTGACAAAGATAAAAGGCTGGAGGTCAAAGTAAAAGGGGGTTTACAATGAATACAGTCTCTTTAAGTCTGCAAATCTAACCTCATTGAAAACTTCACATAGCTGTCATTTGCTGAAAAACAATGAAGGTTGCTCACCACATGGCCTGTACAGAAACTGGCTTGAAAACATGAACCCTGCTCACCGTTGACACACTGAAACCACTGTGACGAGAGACAGAGAGAGAGAGAGAAAGACAGAGAGAGATATATTAGGAATGGGATGCTCAGTAATAGTTTATAGCAGGGGTCTCAAACTCAAATTGGCTTGGGGCCACGGCGGGTATTGCCATCTGACAGGAGTAGGGAAGCACGCTGTGGATATTCTTTCAGCCGTTTGAATAACCGCTAATTTTTAGTTTTATACACCGGAAGGTAGATAGGAGGGCCACTTCAGCATTCATGTACTACAAGAAAGCTCAATATTCTGAAATTATTTCCATTACCAACATCATACTTAACAAAAAATGCAAACAGCGGTTTATATAAATTTTTATATCATCATTTAATATCATCTGTGTAGCCAGACAACAAATGAAGGCCCAAAACCTGCTCTCTTCTTATCACTCATCTGCCAGCACCTTGGACCTCTGCCATTATGTTGAGCCAAACAAAATACATTTTTAAAAACATTGGATATCATGGGCTATTTTTGACATCATGCTGTGGGCCGGAAGGAGGAAATGGTGCCGGGACCCTGGTTTATATCCATCTTATAACAACAACACAACACAACTTGGCTACATAAGGGCAACATGTAATCAAGTCATCAGAGTATTCAGTCGCTTGCCCTTAGGGAGCAGTAAGAGGAAGCAGGAGGTAGGTGTAGCCTCTTACCCGTCTCCATCCAAGTGGATCAAAGTGTCACTCCACAGAGGTAGAACCAGACCCACCGTACAGCAGCTGGTAGGGAGATCAACACGTTAAACAATAGCACAACAAAACAAGACACACTGGTTTGACATAATATACAGATGTGTCCAGGACAACATTCAAAAGCAAAACAGTAGAGAAAGTCAGACAGAAGCACGTTGCCCTTATCCTTCACTTTTATTTTAGCTGCTAGCCACATCCTCCTGTCCTTATTTGATAGGTAAGTATATACAGTTACAGTTCAAATGGATTAAAAGAGTATAAATTCAAGATTAAAACAATAATAAAAACCACTGTTGAAATAAAATATAAACGGTATATATAGGAGGTCACATCCAGTTCTAAATCTCACTAGTCCATATTATTGCAAAGCTACAAAGGAGGTAACACGCCATCCTCTCTTCTTATTTGTTGTCACAAGTGTGGGATTTAATCAGTTTAAACGCACTACAGGACTGTTATCATGGTACTGACCTATCAGAGGAGACAAAGTCCATTCCGAGCACGATGCTCTCCTCCGTGTCCTGTCTACCATTGGTGGAGACCACCACCATGTAGCGGGTTACCTGAGGGTAGGCGCTCTCCAGACGCACAGCCTGCAATGAAAAATACAAAGGAGACGTTAAGATAGAGGGAAATCAGCAAAGAGAGGAGAGGCAGAGCCAGTTTTCTGAATACATCAAAACAAAGAAACATATGATCAGTTTATTTACCGTAAAGTGACTTGCAGGAGCGTGCCCTGTACTAACTCGGACTATTCTTTCTTTTCACAAGTCCTTTGACTTTAGAGAAGTGTAATACTAGCTTGCTGAAATACCTCTTTATCCAAGATGTTGCAGATACTTCAGGGAAATGGCAAGAATGTGTATTACTCCAAATACTTACTTTATGTTTTATGTAAGAGTATAGTTGTTGTGGTGCAGATAAGGGTTAAGACCAACAAGTTTCAGTTCTTTCTTCGCTAACAAAGAACTGAAACTGGGCCCTCAGTTTGGTGTATAATCTCCCTGATCACAATGCTACCCTGCTCCTGACCTTTGTTATTAAATGTGCCTGTGTGTGTGTGTGTGTGTGTGTGTGTGTGGTGTTACTGACCAGTCGGATGGTGTCCTCTGGCCGCAGCACAGTGAACATGGTCTGGAGGTGTTTCTGAAGGTCACCTGGATAAAAGGATTTCAACATTCAGTTTTAGTCGCGTTCATAGCATTGACATAACACCCAAGATAATGTGTCATTTACCCTGTGGCGAGTTTCCACTGCATTCCCACTGGAGTCTCTTTCACTAACTCTAAATTCTACCTCACCTCTAAATACGTCTGAAGAAAAAAGCCTGTTTTGATTTTTAAAACAAAGGTTGTGATGCTTTTTATAGCAATCAGGCCATCTTACACCGCAAAAGTCACCTCCATCTACAAAGGCTGTCTTTATAACGGCAGCAGATTATAATTTACTCCAGTCTTTGTTTTAAGATATTTTAAATGTGGTCTCTTTGACAAAATATTATCAAACAAGTTGGCCACCACACTGCATGCAGCAGTGAACTGACTGCACTGAACTTATTTGCCTTGTTGTGAAACAGCTTGAGTGAAGTTAACACCAGCTGTTACTGATGCTGCTGCAGAGGAATGTCTATCTACAACACACTGTGCTATTTATTCTCAAGTTCTTCTTCGGAGTTCATTTCTGAGGCTAAGGGTTAAAGTGAGTGGAGGAAAAGCACTGGGAGAAGCCGCAGCTGTCCTTTGTGTGTACAAGTCTTTACCTGTGTGCTTGTTCCTGCGCTGGCTGATACGAGGTGCAGAGTTAGGCGTGGGGCTATTTCCCCTGGGAAGGAACAGGGCTGCACCTTTCACAGTGAGGAAGCTCTCACTGATACTGGAAGGGAGGAGAAAGAAAGACGTGAATAGAAGCCTCAAATTCTTCCAAATGATCTAATCGGATTTCTTTTTGTGCAACCTACGTAATTATAAAAATGTACTTCATTTGTTATCACTTTCGTGCACGTGCTGACCCCAGCCTCTCGTAATGAGCACACGATGGGGATGAGGAACAGATGAGTGCTGTCATGGTCTTATGTCAGAGTCACAATGCTCCATTCATCTGGCCTCTGGTCTGCGGCTCCCCGAATCAGAGCTGACAGGCCGATGCAAGTAAAACAAGATCCAAGCCCCGATGTGAACTCAGAACACAATGTTCTCTGCTCCTCCACACAGCTGGATCGCACACACAGTCTTACTCACACTAACAGCTGCCAGTAGGGAGGGATGGGGGGACTGGGAGGAGACTGGGGGTCCGAGAGGGAAGACGGAGCGAGTTCCCTCCTACACAATGTTGGAGCGCAGATAAGAGCTGGCGAGCACGCGGCGCTCCACACCAAAGCAGGTCCTATCAAACGGGGTTCTGTTCCTCTCTGGAACACTTAATCTTATTAACTGTGACTGAGGTCACTGCATTGAGGAGGAGCACACATAATAAACTGAGGTCAGTGTTTCAACTGGATACCAAACAGTGTGTGTGTGTGAGCACCTCTTGTGTGCTTGCATGTGTGAGTGACTAGGTTTTTGTTTAGAGTCTCACGGTGAAACACTAACCGAAGTCACACAAGATAGCAATAAAACAGGTTAGGGTTAGAAGACCTACTTCTGCAGCCGACCATGTCAAGTGACAGCCATGGGACCAGGAAACAATAACCATTATGATGCTGAGCAAGAGGTTTGCCACTTAGACAGACTCTTGCATTTATTAAGCGGATGCAGGAAAAAGCACCACCGCCAGAGAAAACTATGCACTTTAAATATTGAGTTGGGATTTGAGGTAGGAATCCATCATAGTAACAAAAACACATCGGGTGGATTTGTCCTGCGGGTTGTGCCTTTAACCACTGAGACCACAACTCAAGCTGGCAAGAACTTCACCTATCTAAGAACGGGAACGTGTGCAGCCACAACCTCGACAGCCTGCCAAATGTGGTTCTTAAAGTTAGACAGATTTTCAGAAGAACCCTTTTTTGTTACTTTTATTGCATTTTAACAGTATTTTTAATTATCTGCTGGCTTGAATGTGCCCAGCTGTAGTTGTTTTTCATGTTCCACATTCAATATTTTATCAGCCAAAACAAGTTTATGTGATTTTTTTTAAGGAGGTCAAATATGGTAAATGTCAGCAAAAGTTTAAGCTCACTGCAGTTTGTCCTTAATAAAATGGAACAAGCGCTGCGATATGTAAGTGTTACTGAAGGAAACACTGATCCAGGGAGTTGGCTGACCTGTTCTGCTAAACTTCAAAGAGAGGTTTCACAGCCTCCGGGGCCAGACACTAAGACAAGGAACTGACAACTGCGCACGCAAACAGTGACGATCACTGGGATCAATCAAAGGGAGGTGATGACATCAAGGCCACGTGTCTCTTTTGAAATTGCGCATACAATCGGGTAATCTGCGTATTTGGATGGTTAACCACAAAGCCAGACTAACGAACTCAGCCTCGGCAGCAGGCTGCAAGTCCACACTCAATGAACCCGCCATCTACAGTTCATCAGGTTCTACGGTTCTTCGGTTGCAAAAAAAGACTGGTGGCGTCTGCCATTTAGGCTTCCTGTCATTCCCTTTTTGTCTGTAACTTCATCTCTCCATCCTTCCAGCCATCCAACTGCCCTTCCTGAGTTTCGCTGAGGCCGTGGATGTACGGGATCAGGAGACACAGACAACAGGGACAGAGGGAAAAAACAAAACCGCAGCCTTGTGCTGATTTCCCATAACCCTCGCACCCTTGACCCAGCCGTTTCCTCTCACTCTCCCCTCTGTCACTTCCTCTCTTCTGCATTCCTCAGAACTCCGTCCTACTTCTCATTTCCGCCACTCTCCTGCGTTCCTGCTGCATCATGTACCACTGTGCTCACACACTGTACTTGGCAAAGACCGAGTATAGGAGCGCCACTGTACAATGTCATCCTAAATGTAACACCCGTACTCTCTCTGAGAGTCAGAGCGGAAGGCCGTGCACGTGCATGTATGCAAACATGCACACAGACACACTGAGAAAGTGGAATCTAAGCCCGACGGCTGGAGAGGTGGGGGGCTGTTAACGACTCGAATACAAATTCTAAAAATACAGTAGTCCTTTAAAAGTCTCAGCTATTGATAGAGCGCATTCAGAAGATGGCTGACTTACTGTACAGAGGAGCGTCTCTTTCACAGGAGACACAGATACTGCAGAGGTTTAACACTGGAGCCTGCCTGTGCTCTGATTGTAGGGACTAGTTTTGGTGCACTTTTACAGACATACAGTACAGAAAGCTATGGCTCGGTAGAGACCAAACAAATACATAAACATAAACAAAAAGGCCATACTTTCACTAGTTTAAGCTTATGTGAGGATTTGATGCTTTTCTTTGCCATGTACGATAGTGAACTAAGCATCGTTGGTTGAATAAAGCGAGGAGTCTAAATACACCGCCTTGCACTGTGGGAAATGAAATCCGTTTTTACTATTTGATCAATAATTATATGCCAGCCTATTCCACACACAACAACATATTTTCAGATAGTGACAGTGAACCCATTCTGCAAATCTCTGCCTCAATGAGACTGTCATTACGTCAGCACTGTCAATGCAAAGCAGCTGCCTGTACACTGAACTCATTTAAACTGATGCACCATCAGAGACTGTCTGTTTTAATGTACTCAGATGAACTAGAGTTTGTGTATGTTGCTCAGTGGTCTACCAAGAAAGGTTAGAAAAAAGTCAGAATTAAGTATAGTATACGACCAGTGGGTGTATGGGAAGAGGGCAACGTGTTTGAAAAATCTGACTTCACAAAGTATGTGAATGAGGGGGTGAGCAGTGAAGGGTGATACAGAGATAAAGAAAAGACGACCCAGTCGGAGTGTGTCACTGAGAGTGGGGTGGGTCGTCTTTTGGCATTCGGCCACCCCAGGCTTTGGGCAGAAGTGAAGCGGTAGGTACTTGTTAGGGCAACAGTCACAGACACAATCATAACTATGTAAGGACCACTCCACATAGTGGGGAGATAACTGGGTGACCCCCTCCTCCGGCCCGTGCCCATATTAGTCACTCTCAGGAGGAGAGTGGGATAAATATAGGGCCTGGCTGTGTGCAGGGCAGGCCCCACTAAGGCCTTATGAGTTTGCACCCGAGACAGATCCAGCCCATGGGAAAGACAGGGACTTAGCTGATGTGTCCGTGTATGTCTTCATGTTCACAGGTGCGCGTTGGGCCCTGCTGCTCGGAGGCACGGCCGTGGAAAATGTGTCACAAGCAGAACACAGTGACAGATGGATGAGAGGAGAGAAAAGTCAAGTTCACGGGGAGCAACAGTCCAGTGTGCAGGCCACGGTCTGAGCACCAGCCACCTTAGTGGACTCGACACACCTGACCTGGGAATGCAGCGCTATTCTGAGAAGGATTCAGATTACATTTTTACTTTTAGTCAAACTACAGAGAAAGAGTGCTGATGTAAAGGACAATTTAATGCCGGTCTAAATGAGACAACGACTAAATAAGAGCTTCCAGGCCTACTTTGAGAGCCTGTGGCGACACAAAGAACAAGTGTACCGTAGAACATGTGGAACTTCAAGGGCACGCATGCATTAACAAACAGCATGAAGATGCTGGGCAGTGGATACCGTGATACACTCGATAGCTAAACAGCTGGTCAGATCTCACGCCATTTGCTGAAGCTAATTATACCAACTTAAACCAAGTTATGTAGGTTATTTGATTTTAGATGCATCAAACACACACACACACACACACACACACAAGCATAACTAGTGACCTATATCCAGCTGCCCATATCCCTGTTCAGCTGCTGAAGCCACTCACACAAACACACACTTCAGTTGTCACGTGGCAGTCTTATCAGTTTTCTTCGGAAAAACAGGTACGCAACACACACACACACACAAGTGCAGCGGAAGAGAGGGGTTTACTGGTATTTCTAAAATTGGTGGGCTAACAATGGCGTTTTAAATGGCATTTAGCCACAGGTAACACTTAACTCCACGGACAGCCTCGAGACTTGTAATTACCCATTCAAACCCTGGTTAAACATTAGAGCCCCGCTGACATTCTGCCACGTATCTCACACTATAAACAAACAGACATGCGTACGCAAACATTAAACATACTGACACACATGTACACACACTGGGTGCTATAAATCAAAGGATGCTAAAATCCCCTGCATTGTAATGAGAGCTATTGCCCATCCTGAGCAATACAAAGGAGGGCTGTTAAAAACAACCGAGCATCATGCAATGCAGACAACAAAACCCGGACGTCAGAAGAGTCCCACATCTGCCGCTGTTTACTAGAAACACGTGCCTGCCAGTACGCACTGTGTGTGTGTCTTCCCATAAACCTTCCTTGTGCAAACTAGCATAAAAACACTATTTCTTTAATGACTGGGTGCAGACCTAATGAAGACTAAATGTTCAGTTTGCTCGATAGCCTCACCGCTCAATCATGTGTTAAAGAGCTGAAAAACAATGCAATCCAGAAGAGACAGGTTGTCCTCGACTTTCCTGAAAACCACGACTGAGGGCCAATTCTCATGCGGGGAACAACCAATTACCGAGTGCACGGAGATGTTACAAAACAACAAGAAACACAGACACTGGAACTAAATGAATTGATTTTGTGGAAAATTGGGTAATGTTGATTTCATCATTTTTTAATCCAGTTGCAGTCATTTCTTCATTGATTTATTTTTTTTTTTCACCCCCGCCAAATTTGCTAAGCTTGGCACCACATGAGAGTTTGGAAACACTGGAACAGACTAGCCTTTGATCTGTCCTGAAGGGCAAACTTGTCTTCACCACATGTACCAGTCAACTAAATCCTTTTACAACCCACGAGCAAAAAGAAGCCTTTACCTCACTTTGCCTTTACATCTGCAGACGTTGTAGATCACCAACTAGTATGAAAAAAGCCAGAAACTTCTATAATATTTAGTTCAGTCTACTGACCTGTGAGATGGGGGGTTAAGATGAATTGCAGAGGCTTTGAGTTTTAGGTCAGAAAATGCTGTCTGATCAGCAGCCAATCACCCACGCATCTCAAGTGTAGCTTCTTACTGCTTTAAAGGAGCTCTATTGTCATAATCTCTAAGGATTATATTAAAAGTGACATTTGCATGCTGTTTCCTGGGTTCCTAATCTAAGTATCACGTGGATAAACGCCAATTTTTTGGGGGGGTCTGTCACTAGAAAACATTATCTGACGATGAGTCAGAGACTTCAGACATTAGCTTGAGTTATTAGTATACGTTTAAACACCACATACATTTTATATGAAAATATAGAAAATCTTAAAAACACTCTTCTCTTCTTCTTCGGGTTATTTAGGTCATTTTCCCAGATGTTTATCTAAAACCTGATTAAAAAAGCCCTTAATTGCTACTTAATAACTACTCATTGTGTCCCACCAAACACTCACATGTTCAAACAAACAGTATCCCAGCCTTGGACAAACAAAACGGGAGGGACATTATGCCCCACAAAAACTCTTGATATGGTGATCAGGTGATGTATGCTTGTCTCCACAAATCCATCACGTGTGTCTGGACCTGTGAAACAGGTACGATGATTCACACTCTCATGAAGAGCCATTATGTCTTAGTAAGGTCAAAAAGGAGCACTGAGATGAGTAAGACCCTGCTGCGTCACCAGGAAATACATTGAACCCTGATGTTGCAAAACTGTTACAAATGTTCAGCTTACTCATAGTCTTACAATGTTGAAAGTTTCCCACAGTGTTACTAATTTCCAGATGTGTAGACCATTGACTGGGTATTTAAATGCAGTATTAACAGTCTATCCACAACACAACAACTCAATTCCAAAATACAGACATTAACTTCAGTTGAACTGCTCCTTTGAGTGTGAAGATGTGCTCATTTGTAACTAGTTTGGATGGAGACCCTGCCACTTCACGATAACTTCAATGCCTGTCCCTGTCATATCCACTTCATTTAACAAAGTCTTTTAACGTATTAAACAAACACTCTCCACCTTCTCCAGAGTGCATCTACCTTCCGCAACTTGCCAAGACTTACAGCTGGTTGATCTGATTTGTTGACACCACCGCGTCGTCGCTGAAACAGGGTACCATCTTGGCCCCGCAGCAGGAGCAGAAGCTGTCCGCCGACGAGCTGTCGGATCCGGACACCGCGCCGAGGGTCATGCCGGCGGTGGGAGCGCAGGAGGAGGAGGAGGAGGAGGAGGAGGAGGCTGGTGGTTGTCGGTCCGAGAGAAAACTTTTACTTCTCTCCCACACTCGTGTGCTCTGTCATCTCAAGAGGAAGCAAACAGCTGTCTTCCTTGGGTGGTACCGATGGCAATACAGAAGAAAAATGACGAAATATTCCGCGAAGTAGGCACCGCAAAAAATGAGATGTTTCCAAGCAGTGATTGTGCTGCAATAAATTACGCAGGGCAACTAAGTCTAGGACACGGTGTTCTCGCCACCTGACGCCGTCCAACATCTCCCAGTAAAGCGAAAGAGAGCCCCATATTCAATCATTGTCCGTACCGCTTCCTCAACACTGTTTCTCTCTTACAGAAGACAGCAGCCTTTAGCATGTACAGTACATATGACTTCGGTCAAACTCTCACCGGGGGAAGTCATGGGGAGGAGGGCGGAGTTGGAGACATGTGGTTTTGGGAAAAGTGGGGAGCCAATGAGGACAACGGGGAAGTACGACCGCCCACAGCAGCAGCCCTTCTGCATCGACCCCTCGCTGTGCCACGACCGTGTGTAAACAAAGCGCTGGCAACCGTGCGCCATGAAGCGGTTTACTGCACTGTTCCTCCTGGGTGTGCTTATCAGCTCATTCACTGCTGTTTGCTACAAAGCTGGTTCCACATGGCACACTGGTTGCCCACGGTAGATTACAGAACACTGTGGGGCAGACTAACAGCTTTTATTCATCTGAATAATGTGTTAATATTCTCAGAAGCAACTACTGTCCAGCAGCTGATGTGAGTGTCCTGGTACAGCAGGGTCACAAGGGGTGGTGCTCATTAGGGTAATGCAATAGAGTCAATTAAACCCACATGGGCTTTTGGTCTGGCAGTCACTGGCTCACTGAGGAGACTTCACTTGTCTTTACATAAGGAGAAAGGAGAAACAGGCTGAAGTTATCCAGACGGAGCTGCTGTAGCAGGAGGCCTGTGGTATCTAGGTGAAGTAGAGATATACCGGAGCCTGTCTTGTCAAGAAAGTCTCGGGGAGAAACGACCCTTCACAATTCTAGGATATCAAGTATCAGCGGACATGCTGCACGCCGTGAGACGGACGCAGTGTTTTGGTTCATTTTATAGCCTGTGAAACGCTTTCGGTTTTGCTGGTGTGCCGACATGTACGGCCCTATGTAAGCTGAGAACAATTTGAAAAACACTGTAAAACTATAGCCTCCCTCATATTCACACCAGTGTGTGCCAAAGGACCTCCACGCGGTGGAACTAAGCTTTATTGCCATGTTTATGGAAGGCCTGCTTTATGTGTTGTCTGTCCTCCAGAGTGGAGCAGGTATGAATAAGGACTCCGAGTGAGAAATATGCTGTTATATAACACACCTTTGGCTCGGTACGCACAAACTTTCCCATTGTTATTCACTGTAATCTGCACTGCATGCTTGTGTTCTAAATCAACACTCATAAGCTGCAGTTGAAGTTGCTACTAATCCTAGACTGACCATACTGTATGAAGGCCTAGACCAGGGATGGATCACATTAATAAAAGCAGTGCATTTGATCACATCACATCTCTTCATGCCTAAACTAAACTCAGTGACCCTTATTACTTAAAGCTTTCTTCTGTTCACCCCCGTCTCACTCTCCTATCCACAACTCTTGCATCACAAGGCGGGCTGCCCAATAAGCTCTGCCAAGCAACTCTGACCACAAACTCCACACACACAGCAGCTCTAGTGCTCCTGTCATGTGGCTCCGTTTAGTGTCGTCGAATTTACCAGCACTCAGTCATTCGTCTGTGGGCGGGTAACACGAGAGGCTGTTGTGGTGTTTAGCTGAGCCCTGGACAAGTTGCACAATCGTCTTCCGCATCATGTCTTCCTCGGGCCCTTGATGGGAACGGGCAGAAACACGCAGGTCAATGGTGCTGTCGGTGTGGAGTTGTGTAAACTTAAAAGTGGGTGTTTGTATGTGAATGGGAGTCCCCCTAAAGTGAGCCCTACCATCCTGCTACCTTCTGGGTCAGTGCATGAAGCTAGCTGTAGCATATAGTGAGCTGGAGAAGGGCTACTGTTACCATAGTGTTCTACAATAAAAGGACTTTCACCTTTAGAGCTATAGCATATAACCTACAGTGATGATTTACAGCACCTTGAAAGAATGGATTATAAGAACACCGAAGGTAAAGTGTGATGGAGTAATAACAGTAGCTAAAAACAGGCCGCAAAACCGCCAAACAAACATCACAATACTTTTCAGGATTGAAAACAAAGGAAAACAGCTGGAAAAAAAAAAAAACGCCTTAACTTTAAATATTTGCCAACTACTTAGCCCACTCTGCTGTGATAGGAGAACTTCACCTTGGAGAAAGCGGGAGCTCTCTTAACAGCCAGATAAGGAAAACAAGGACGGAGCTGTCAGCAGAAGTAGCCTCTGTACAGTAACCAAACATGTACTGACCCGCAGCTACAAAGCACTAGCTGAAGAAAAATCTGTTTTTTTTCTGGTTTTTGCTGGGTCAACCACGTTTTATGCAAAAAATCCTTTTTGTGTTGAGCTGTGTTTGTTGTTGTTAGTATAATCCTAATTCCCATACTGCTAAGTGACACATGCTGCATTTTGAAAAGGCTACTCTGTGGCATATGAGGTTGTATGTGCAGTTTATTATCTGGTGCATTATGGCAAATTCCAGTTGTTATACCACAAAATTAAGAGAATGAATTTGGATTGATCATAATTATTATGTGTTTCTATTTGTAACACTATCATGAATTCTGCAATTTGTGTCTTTGGTGCCACATAATCTACATCTTGTGCATGAGATACTGCATGCATAACGTTGTACAATGTCTCTGTTCAGAATGGTAGGAAACCGATATGTACGCCCATGTAGTCACTAATCCAGGACAGGGAGTGCTCCATGTTTAAACAGCAGGTGTACTGTAGGAAGACAAGAGGCAGGTGTGGTACCCACTGTGGAGTGTAAATGAAAGAGGACCAGCTTACAAACTTAAAGAGGCGCGTCTCCACATGTGGAGACCGCATTCACCGGTTCAAACGGTTTTTCCTCTTCTTGGTGTTACTGCACCTTGTCCTTCTTGTTCTTTTAACAGCCGACTCATTAAACTCTTGGCCGGGTGAACCTGCTCTACTTCTGTGCATCTGTGTCAGAGCTGATGCATGAGTCCATATAACATGGATGTTTAACAGCGCAGGAAGAGCCTTGCACCACAAGTAATCTTCAGCAGGGTTAGGGTTAGTGTCAGAATGTATTAGTTAGAATGTTGTTTAGTCACGGCTCAAGTTATTTCTCAGAGTAGAAACCTCGGCTCAAATTAAACACTGCCATGACCCGTACTGCATTTTGGAAACAGAAATGTTTCACAGCAGGGAGACAGTGGACAGACAATTGGGTCGGAAAGAGGACAGATAAACACCGCCCCTCTTTCTTCCCAAAGACCTTTCTCACCCACAATGAAGAGGAGAGCTGAAAGCAAGGACCTTCACTGACATTACAAGTGGATGAACAGCATGAATGCACCTTTTAAAAACAGTACTGTACTTTGGGTTCCAGGTCAGACACTAAGTAGTCTCGCATCAGACGAGTGATCCAGGAAACATGCAAGGCCCACACATTAGCCTTGTTTTGTCACAGAGAAGTCTTTTTTGTTTTAATCATTAATTCCTTCTCTTATTGTTTCTATCGAGTTCTGTTTTATGTTGCTGTTGTACAGCAAGTCTCATGTCCTATTTCTGTAATGTCACGTCATCCACCACACTGAACATTAGAAGGTGATACCTCACAGGACTGTGCACAGGGTTTACAGTGAATACATACTCAGGTGACTAAAAGCTGTATTACAGGAAATTAGAAACCGATGTGACCATACAAACACTGTGTATAAATCTTGTGATGCTGCAACCGACGGCAACAGCCATGGTACATCACATGATATCTCTGCAGACAGTCGCAGGAAGAATAGGAAGCAACTCATTTGTTAAACAGCCACAAAAGAACAAAACTCATTGGTTATTTGAACCATTTAAAGATTGATTTAGAACAGAACGAAACCTTTAAATGTTGGTTTGGTGACTGTGGATAGAAGAAAAGTTCTCCAACACTGTCTCTGACAACCTGTGTCAGTCCTGAGGCAACAGTGTATGGTAGAGATTCATTATTGCACTGCAGTAACATTATACTTCAGTGGTGCGGTGCAGGGAGCACAGACAGCTGTTTGTGTGCGTCTGTATGAAAGAGACATTGACAGAGCGAGAGGGAGAATAAGGCAGATACAGGGTGTGAGTCAGTGAGTAGTCGACTGAATAACTGAAAGAGAAAAGAGACAAAGGCTCTGGAGAAGAGTGAGAAATCAAGACGAAGTGGAAAAGTGACTGCGCTGTGAAAGACAACGCGCCCCCTCAATCTCAGTGGCCCCTATACGATATATTGGCCCGTACAAGTACTTGAATCCATATGTAGGGTGTGGAGTTAATTGGACCTCAGCTCTCAGCTCTTATGTAACATGCATTAGGGGTCACTCAGCAAGGCCCTTGGCTGCATCCTGTGCATGTCTGTGCAAGTGTGTTAGTGCTAACGCTGAGCAAATAGCAAGTTAGGTAACTGAGCCAAATGGTAAAACAGGCCTATAATGATGTTAGGCGTACGAGCAATAAGCTATATGTATATGTATGTGTGTGTGTGTGTGTGTGTGTGTGTGTGTGTGTGTGTGTGTGTGTGTGTGCGCGCACTCGTGGGT